TAGAATCCAACATTTTCAGTAATAAGCTCCTGGGCCTCTATTTGTGTACCTGATCTGTACAGGCCACATTTTCAGCTCCCCTTTCCTCCCCAAATCCTCTAATGGTGGGCACTGTGCCCAAGGCAATGCAGGATCCCAGTATGTCTATGGTTACGATCCTGTTTCAGAACAAAGCTTATAAACATGACCTTACCTTTTGAGTATTTCATTAAACCCATAGTAGCTTCATGTGGCATTAAGCATGTGCCTAGGTACTTTCCTGAACTGTTTTTTTTCATTTGTTTGTTTTTTGAATAATGGAAAAAAGGAAACAGTGTGGCCACTTGACTAGAGCATTGGCCTGGGACATAGAAGAATTGATATTCATTGCCATCCCTGCCACAGGCCTGCTGAATGACCTTAGGGAAATCACTTCAATGTTCTGTGCCTTTCCCCATCTGTAAAAATAAAGATCATGATGCACTCTTATGATAAAGAAACAGAAACTTATATTATTATTGTTGTTATTTCTTCTCCGTATCCTCCCACCAATTATGCCTCAGCTATGGTTAAGAAACCCTCTCCTTACCGATTACTATAACTAGCAATTGTCATGTTATTTGTAGGTTGCAGAATGTGACACCCTTTAAGGAATTCCTTCCCTCTTCATTTCAAAGCAGGAGATTGCTATTATGTAAAATTATTATGCACCCACATAGATGTCATGGCAGGCAGAGGGTGTTCATCATGGATCAGTGAATTCTTAACTGAGCTAGTTTAGGTGCCCCTGGGTGTTAAATTAGGAGCAAAAATACTGAAGCCAAATCATTTGTCATTAGCAGCACAGTGTATGAAATTTACAGAATAAAATGTCTGAGAGACCATAAAAAATTCTCAAGGATACAAGCAAAATTTCTGACATTCCTATGACTAAGGTTTTCCAGGTGCAGAGAATGACATTTTTGTAAGTACTTAAGAGAATCAGGCCCACAATTTCTAATGAAAGTACATAGGGCCTTTGTACACACCACAAAATTGGCCTTTAAAGTGGCTTAAATGCCCCTTTTCACCGCTTTAATGATATTCTGTACTGTGCATACAGAAATATTGCTGTTTACAGTGTCAGCGGCGTATTGCGCTTTAATGGCACTGCTGTTTACACTCTCAGGAGCGTATTGCGCTTTAAATGACTTTGGGATGTAGCAAAATAAAACACCCCCGAGGTGTTTTAGTTTGCTACCTAACAAACTGCAACAGCGGCAGAGGGAAGCACCTGGCCCTGTGCAGCTCAGGGGCTTTGCAGGCAGCCTGGCAGCAGCCCGTGCAACCAGGTTCCACTGAAGGAAAAAAAAAAAGTGGCAAGCCTGATCTTTTTTTTTCCTCCCTGGAGCCTGCCTGAGCTGCACGGGGGCCCAGTACTTCCTTCTGTGGCTGCGGGGCGGGGGGCAGTGCTTCCCACCGTGGCTGTGGTGCCCCCAGGACTGCCTGGGCCAGGTGCCACCTGGCGGGTGCCACTGCCGCAGAGGGAAGTACCAGCCCCTCCCACCTTGCAGCTCAGAGACTGCTCGGCCTGCTGGCAGCTTGCCCCATCCCCCCACACCAAGAGGCAGGTAAGGATTGGTCCTGACCCTTGTGTACACACCACAGGGGTTTACTTCGGTTTAATTCTCCCTAAATTAAAGTGGTGCTTTTAAAAACCCACTGCTTCAATTTAGGGACAATTAAACCAAAGTAAGCCCCCGTGGCATGTACAAGCAGCCATAGAGTTTATCTTCCCAAATCCCTTTGGCATTTATGAAAATGCTTCCTGCAATTCTTTTTTTTTTTTTTTTTGCATCTGAATGAAGAGAAGAGAACACAGGCAGAGCAGTTTGGAATTAAAGGCAAAAGTTGAAAACACTGAGAACAGTTTCTCACAATCTGATTTTCATGATCTGATTTTCCTATGAATAATAGTTACAATAATTCACCAGTGTGACTCTCAGAAATTCAGATGCTTGTATGGAATGATAAAAAATATTGGACAATTACGTAAAATTGAGGGACCAGACTAACATGTAACGCATCTCTTCAACATGCCAGACCACTGCTGTCCTAAGTGACTATGCTGTATCCATGACCCCCCAATAATATACCCTATGGCACCTTTCTGCCCTCATTTATTCCAAAAGCTTGCTAAGAACTTTTTTCCAACTACTCAGTTGGTCTAATAAAAGGTATCACATATAGTCAAAGAACCTTGCCTGTTCATTTATTCCTGTACTCTAAGCTGTTCCCTCTCCCCCTGAAAATCCTTTTGATTTCTTTCCTGATTAGGTATATTCAATCAGTGGATAAGCATCTATTTTGAAATCGATAGAATTTAATAGAATCCACTGACTCCAATGACTGTTTGATTAAGTGACAGCTGCACGGTGATGGCTTTTAAAACATGAAAGAGTTAAGCTCTAAGGCTGCTACTAATGGCTAACACCATTTGTTGCATTTCCAAACTCAGCTTCAAGAACCAGGATTTCAAACACATTCCATAACATAAAAATCAATCACATTTTTCCTGCAACACCATAGTTTCCCCGTCCTCTGCCATTTTGCTGAGTGACATTACCCCTCTCTTCTCAGGTACATAGAAACTGCCAGGTAATTCCAGATGGCAAGAACCATAGACACATCAACATTACTGAAACCATATGAATACTAAGAATACTAAAGGGAAGTGTCAGTGTTGGGTGGGTGAGTAAAAAGGAGAAGAGAATAACTGGGTCTTTTGCTGGGTTGGGAAATGGCCGTGCTAGCTGAAATAAGAGGACATTTTAAATTTCTTCAAACACTCAAACCAAAACAGTTGCAGAACAAGAAGGAATGAAGGACACCAAAACAGCTAACCATATCAATGATACCTAAATAGATCCCCAAGGAATGACAAGACCTCAGAAATAATGAATATATTCTTTCTTCCTTCTTTCCGACAAACCTAAAACAGGTTAGAAAAATCTTTCGCTTCCCAGAAAGCTTATGACTAGTGCACAGGGAGTTTGCACAAATAATAATGGGATGCAGACAATATATGACTTTCAGACAACCAAAGCACATAAAATAGATTCTATTTTTTCAAAGAGCCTGAAGCCCTCTGGGCTGCATGTCACCTCTGAACCTGCTATTCCATTGAAAGTTATTTTCTAGGCTTCACCTTTATTCAACATGAAAGCCAGGCATGTCATCAGGTTTGCTTGTCTTCAGATAATGAAAAAAAGTCTGCTTATTATAACCCAATGCACTCATGTTTGCTTACCTTTTTAGTGTTCTATTACAGCCTTGCTATTTGCATTTGAATGTGGATGTAGGATTCTTATGTAAAAGGCCTTCTTTGTTTAGTACGGAAGACCTGCATAATAATGTTATTTTTTACAGGTAGGGCTGTTCCAGAAGAATTAATGTAGCACCTTGGCTCCTGGTTCTACTATGCTCATGGACAGACAGAAATCAGAAATTTGTTTCATATCTTGCTGAAGACGACCAATAAAAGTCTTTCTGCTCTCTTGAAAGCAGCAAGAAAGGGGGTTTCTGACAGGTTGGGACTTTTCCTGCATTCTCCCTTTCCTATAAGCTGTCCTTTCAGCTGAAAGCCTCTCCACACAAAAGGTATCAGCTGACTAAAGGTTTTATTCTGCAAAACACAGAATGCTGGCAAACTAAAAACAAATCAAGATACTACAGTATTTATTGTTAAATGAAAAATCAAAAACTTGCTATTGATATTCTATACTGTGCATACTGAAATATTGTTATTAATTATTTGTACTACAGTTGCAACTTGATATCTCATATAGCATTGTATAGCACAGTGGAGTTCCAAACCAAGTCCCTGCTCTGAGGAGGTTACAGTCTACATGGATAAAACAAACATGGCAAGAAAGAAAGTGTTGCTCTCCCCCTTTTAAAGGTGAGAAACTGAAACCAAGAAGGAGTCTGGGGCAGACTCAGGAGCTGACCCAGTCCACTACCATAACCACAAGACCATCATTCTCCTTAAGAAATAAAGTCTATGTTAGAAGACATTTTTCCCCGATCCTTCCATCTCCCTATGTGTTTTCAATTTCATATTGCTGAAAAATTGGAAAGCATTTAGCTTACGAAATCACAGGCATTTCTGATACGGAATTTGCATGACTCTCCTTAATTGAATTGCAACACCAATATGCATAAATCAAAATGCTTGTAAAGAGACAATCTGGAACTCTGAGTTTTGGAGGATGTATACCAGCTAACCAGCTTTCCTCCCAACAAAATTACCCTGAAAGGTCAACTTAACAGAGCAAAACAACAAGTTTGATGGGTTTGTAGAAAAAGAAGGGGAAAGAATAGAAGGAAACATTAGCATAGGAGCTGCTAGAAGGCACAAGAAACCTTCAACTTGTGTAGGAGATTAGGGTCTAAAACAGGGCTGTCAAACTCATCTGGCCCTATAGGCTGGATGGGTAGTGCAAGGCTGGTTCACATTAGACTCATGGACCCAACCCACTGCCTGCATTCCTGATCCAGCACAGCTTGCATCTACACGGCTGGTCCAGGACACCAGCCTGAGTCAGTGCCATGTGCAATACAGCCTGGCACTGGTCTGACTGCAGCCCAGAACCCAGCCCAAGTGAGTGCCACAGGCAGCACAGCCTGAGACCAGCCCTAGCATGTTCCATGGGCAGCACAGCCTGGGACCCAGCCCCAGAATGCTGTGCATGGCACATGTCCCAGGTACTGTGCACAGGGATGGTCTGGCTCAGCAAAAGGGGCATCACTAGCAGCTGGATTACGGGTCTCTGTGGGCCAGATCTGGCCTGCAAGCCATATGTTTGACATCCTTGGTCTAGAAGTTACCAGGAACAGAGCCAATGAATGACAAGCTGGGGAGCTAGGAAGAAATGCAGGACCTAATAGACTGGATGGTATATTACCATAAATACATATACCTAACCTATGGTGGCAGGGGGGGGGGGGGGGGGCAATGTTTCAGTGCGTCAGTTCTGTCCTTTTTTTTTTTTTTTTTTGCTTTATTGGACCACTTTGGCCACATACAAGTGTTTGAATGAACCACAGGAAGTCTTGCAGTTTTGTTCTCCCAATCGAAAAACCTACCAGGAGAGCATGGTATAAACAACAGAGGGGTCAAGTGGGTGCTAGTGTTGCCAATGGTACACAGCTAGGGGTCTCCCAGCATCCCAGCATGCTCTCAGGCTCCCCTGGCTTCCAGAGAGCACTGAGAGCAGTGCACAGGCCAATAGTACACAGGCCAACAGTGTCTGGCTGGTGGCACTCCCCTAGGGATGTCCCGCTTACATCTCCCCTCCCTCCCAACCCTGTTGTGAGGCTTTGGGAGGAGACCCAGAGTATGTCTCCTCTCTTCTCAGTTGCAGAAGTGTCAATTTCTGGGCCTGGATTTGGGTCCTGGTTCAGGTATTTAGGTCTCAAGGATGTGGGGATCTAGGGGGGTGTACATGTCAGCGTTGTGGGGGTCTGAGTGTGGGGGGTCTAGGTTTCATGGTTCTGGCAGTCTGGATCAAGTGCAGGGGACACAGATATCTCAGTACCCTTTGTCTCTCTGCAGCTCTAGTGCACAATCGCAGAGCTGGTGAAAGGGGATGGGCTTTCCTGGCCTTGGGGCAGTTAGAGGGAGGGGTCTGCTCCATGACTGGCAGGAGTAGCGGATGGAACAGTGAAGTCCAGCCTGAGTGACAAAATGTCCCCCTGGAGTTGGGATGGATGTAGGGAAGTAGATGCTGAAAGACAGAGCTGTGCCTTCTATCTCAATAGTAAGTGTACACATGCACTCCTTCTCCTGGGAGAAACTCTCAGGAGCCATTTCTACTGGGCTGCAATTGGGCTAATTTTCTCCTGGAACTGACATTTTTAGTCTGAGAGAAAATGTGTTTGTGCACTTTGGGTTTCTAAACAAAAACTGAGATTCTCCCAGTAGAAACATAACACTTGCACATAGTCTTTACTATCTGTTTCTTTTAGTGGCTTTGATCAATTGATATGATCTTTTTACTTTTCTGAAGTCATTCATTCAGGTGTATTTTCCATTGAAACTGGAAAAATATCAGGAACCTAGTCCCTGATGTACTATGCTATAGAAACATCCCTGAAGCCCATATTATTACCTTGTTTTAATTGGAACATTTTCCTGTTCAATTTTCAAAAAACTCATATTACATCACTTTTCAGGCATTGTAAGACAACCAGTCAACAGGCTCATTTACTTCTAGATGCTTAACTGAAGTGGGCCTCATTAAAAATGGATATTCACCATACAGTGGTATTCCCTATATTTAGAATATGAAATACCTCAAATACTACAAGTAAATTTAACTACTGTGGGTGGTAAACATCCAATTTAATGGCCATCACTGCATTTGTGTGAAAAAAAAGAATCTACCAAATGAGTTGTTTTAAATCCTGTTTAACACAATGAGTCAGAGACATTTTGAGATGAAATCCCCCTTCTGCCATTTCTTCCCAAAAATCATCACTAAGACTAAATTTTCTATACTGAGCACTATCTGGGAAAAAGTAATTCTGGCCTGGTTTTAAACGATCAAAGGATAATAGGCTCACTTGGAGCTTGCCTGAAATTATTTTTGCATATTTAATTGGAAATCTCTAGCCCCTTTTTTGTGAGCTTGTGAGAAGTTCAGAAATTTGGAAACACAGGAGCTGCCATACTGGAGCAGAGCAATGCATTATCAAACCCTGTACCCTGTTTCCAGTGGCCATATCGAGCTGGGCTAACAAGCCATGAACCTGAATGACTCCTACTTAGAGAGGTTTTCTTAAGCCCATACATTAAGGGTGGTTTATACACCGAAGCAGAAGGAATTCTGTCCCTTCCAAAAGCTATTGGCAGTTACTGGGAGTATGCTCTTTTTGACAGAAGCTTAGAAGTGAAGCTTAACTGGCACAGAAGAAGGCCAAAGGGCCTTGACTATTTACAGAAAAAGAAAGAATGCTACCATACTTCTCCCAGTGTCAAAGAGTCTCCACGTGGCTAAGCTTTAGAAAGAATCCCTTTACGTTTTGTTTTACATGAACTTGTTGGCACATCTATGTTATAAATCCACAGGATTTGGGCATGCACTGCAGAAGGCAATTCAATGATAGCAGTATCATTATACTAGCATAATAGTAAGATGCAAACATTATCAATCTTAGTCAGAGGGCCACCCCGCTTCCTTTTCTCCTGCAGCCTTCTAAATTAGACTTACTTTATCCTTGGAAACAGAACTTGTTGTTTTGTTCTTAGAAATATCTAAAAAATTAGGATTCATATTCACCAATGTGTGCATTTAATATGGACCTGTTTTTAGAAGCTGAGGATATTCACAGCTCCAATAGGAGACGCATGTGCTCAGCAACATATACATATACCAAAACATGTACTCTGAAACCTTAAACTACTTCCTTCAAACCCCATCCAAACTCTCCCCTATGTCAGCAAATAACACTTTTTCTAATAATAATCAGGTTTCACCTACTAAAACCATTCAAGATAACTTTGTATTTTGTTGTTATAAACATTGAAGGAAAAGTCCTTCCTGCTTCATTTATGCTGCATCAAAGCAAAATATTTATTCATTTCACCCACAGGCAGTAAAGTCATCTCCTGTGAAAAGAATGTGTGAAATAATTTACAGTAATATATTTATGCGCATCTCTATTAAACAGCTTTCTCAGCATAATAGCTCATTTTTTTTTACTTTAGAATGAAGGGATTTGTACCCTTTTTTCTCTCTACACCTTTAGCACTAATAACTAATTCTCACAAAACTTCTGAGGAGCCATATGCAAAGATGTCCAAACCCATGAGGCTATGATTCCCTGTGTGTAACATCTAATGGAGTCTGACAAAGAGCCATGGAGTGTCCTGCCCCACATCCAATTAAGAACAGTTCTGCAGAACCAAAAGCTGGGATTGGCTTCGGGGCATAAATATTTGCTTCTGTACCATCTCCGCACATGCCATGTTCATTCCATCCCCATGAGAAACATTGGCTACCTAAAGAGAGAGGAAACAAGAGTTGAAATGAGTGTACTGGTCATAAACCAACATGGACAAGCAAAACGAGTTATTTTATTGAAGTCTGTGATCAAACTGTCTTTTAATTGGGTTCTAAGAAGTTCTGCCTGGCTGGGGAAGACCTTGGTGATTTCCTGGAACTTTAATGTGAGAGAAAAAGTCATGGTCAGCTTGTTCCATCCTGCTTCTTAACAAGTAAAAAGAAAGCAGGAAGTTAAAATAACATGGAAATCTGAAAGTGAAATTTAGCAAGATGGTTACTGATTATTTTTACAGGACCATAAAAGTATGCTGGACATTCAATAAGCAAAGGAAAATTCTTCCAAAAACCTTACAATGTAGGATCCTCATTCAGTAAGCTTCTCCAAGCAAGTGGCACCTTGTTATATGCACTGAACTGCAGTGCATACAGGGACTGCAAAATGAGGGCCTTTGTAGACAAAGCAGCAGAGGAAGGAAGCAATACTTAAGTACCATCATATTTTGATTTTGATTTTCACTCTACATCTTGCTTCTTTAACTTCCTGTTCTGCTTACCCACGTTCTTGATAACTTGGCATAGTAGTTATTTATGACACTTTCCTTATCTGCCATGACATACTTGACTAATTGGCTTTATATTTCCCTGTTTTCTATTATTACTATTTATTTCTTACTTCTTACTCTTTTTGAACCAAATGAAGGTCTATGAATTATTCTTATTCTATACTACCTAAAATCACACTATGGATTTGAGCCTTTTCCTATAAATGGCTTTTCCTATAAATGGCTGGGACAAGAGAATATACCAGTATATCCCGTTTTTTCTCCTTTTCTTTCTCTCTCTCTATCATGTTTCATGCTAAACCCCTGGGAGGGCCACATACTTTTGCACCTTCACCATTTGTTTTAATGCATACAAAAAAAGGTTAAAAAAAAAAAAGGGTTCTCTCATTCCCTTTTGCTTTCCTGCAATAAAACAGAAATCTACTTTATACTGCATACTGGTTCTGTGCATACTTCAGCTACATTCTATTAGCCTGGTATTACAGTTTTCTCTTTTTCGTAAGTGCTTATTAAAATTAAAATTCTATTAAAACCAGATATATTTAAACCCCAAACTTTACTACATTATGTAAATTGGTTTTCCAGTAACCCTTAAATGAGATGACTAAGGAGACAGACAAGTTTTTTGAGTAAATCGGATATCTTTTATTAGATCAACTAAAATATTTGGAAAAATTGTTCTTTGCAAATTTTGGGGTAAAAACACTGACAACCCTGATGACTAAGAGGAAGTATTCATAATCTCAGAAGGAATAAGCATTGTCAAAGATGAATATGTGTTTTATTAACAACCTGAGCTCTAGTACAAGTGCATATTTGGGGTCCATAAATTTTGATGCAGTGTCTGCTCTGGTGCAGAAAAATACAGAATAAACAACAAATGTATAACATACAACCATAAGCAAAGATCATCGCCTGACTGGGCAACTAAGGGGTACATAGGAATTTATTTGTGAGGATGAGGTACAGGCTATAATCCATCAACAAATGAAAATCAACTTATACAAGCTAGAAGGAGACATTACTAACTATGCCAAAATGAGGATTTTATTACAGGACACTCATAGCAAACCCCCTTCCCCCAAAATACTCACTATAGCACCACAAACAACTCCCTTTAGATAACGGTGAAAAAAAATATCTCCATCCCACCAAGCAGGCTGTTTGCATTTACATTTGCATGCCATCTTTCCTTTGATATCTACTTCAGCCTGCATCTGCTTCCCCTGGTCACCTGAGAAAGGGCACCCAATGCTTGAAAGCTTGTCCAACAGCTCTCCCAATAAACGTTGGTAAAATAAAATATATCATAAAAAAGCCTTGCCTCTTGACATTTCCTGGGCCATCAGGGTTACAACAACACTCCAGCCCTAAAAAAGGTTCACGCAATATTGACCCTGTATATGCCTTCACTCTCATTTCCTCCTAATGCTGGGCAATTTCCTCCTAATAGCTCTCCATAACGGTCCCTTGTTTCCTACCTAGTGGCTTCATCACACATTCACCAACACTGCCTAGCGGCTTCAGGATACTCCCCCTTTTTGTCCATCTCACATTCTCCCTCTCTCTACTTCTCCAAATTCATATCTTCCAAAAATTCAGCCCAAGTTGATCATCTCCCAGTTAATTTCTTCATATCATCCCTGACCAGAATTATGACTGGACTTGTTTGTGCCTGTTTGCCTTAGACCCAGATTCTGAAACCCTCGCTCAAATATAATATATAAATAATAAATACTCTTTGCTGTATGAAAATATAATTGATTTCAGCAAGACAGCTCATGGTTAAAGGCACTACTCTGTGAGTGCATCTACACATGCAATTAGCATGTAGCAATAAACTAAAGTGCAGTTTGCATTGGAGTTTATTGCTCCCGGGTGCAGTGCTTACACAAGCACCTGGGACTCCAGCATGTAAAGCAAAAGCAGAGCAGCCCTGGCTGGCAGAGGGCCTGGGGTGGGGTCAGCCTGCTAGCCCAGGGCTGCTCCACCCTGACTCAATTTGTTGTAGACGGGCTGGCAGGGGCATGAGGGTGCTACAGTGTGGGGCTAGCTGGCAGGCAGCCCTCACACTGCAGCACCCTTATGCTCCAGCTAGCCCTGGTCACCATTTACACATGTTTTTTGGTGCAACTAACTACTGCACTGTAGGACAGTACTTGTCCTGGACAGTACTATCCTACAGCTAAGTTAATTAATTGACTGCTCCCTAATACGGGCACATGTGTAGATGGTGACGCTTTACTGGGGAGCTAATAAGTCATGTCAGTAAAGTCAGCTGCAGTAAAGTGCATGTGTAGATGCACCCAGTGTAAACCACAGTATCTGAATCTGGCCCTTACTGTATAGTTTTCAGAGCAGGGATTATTTCTGGCCTTCCCTGTAGCCCAGTTCTCAGATGCGCTTAACAACTACAACAACAGGAGTCACAGTTGCTCAACAACTCATAAAAACAGACTTCAGGAGCATAAAAACTGTAAATTAATGTCATTGTACACATTAAGGAAGCAGGCTGTACAGTATCAGCCAAAAACACAGTTCATATGGAAAAATGGACTTAAACCAAAGCTATCTTACTGGATTGCCAGCTGCCCAGCTTTTAATGGGTTCAGGATTAAATTTGTATGTCTAGCTCAGCCTCTCCAAATCAATTATACAGCTCCTGCAGTACAATGAATATTTAGACATTGCTTTGGACTTGTGTTGAGCTTCCTCAATAGCAACACTGAAAATCAGAAGCTACTGGACCCTCATATGGATTAGTCCCTCTTAAGACATTCAAAATAATACTAAATGACTAAGGACACGTGTAGACGAAATGAGGGGCATGTGTGCACGACACTTTAAAGTGGGCTAAATGCTTTGGCACTGCTTTAATGGTATTGTTGTTTGCACGCGTCGGCAGCATATAGTACAGTAATGCCAGCTGCTGTAGCAAATTCGGTGGCGTAATGCACCTTAAATGACTCGGGGCACAGCACACTAAAACTCCTCTGAGGAGTTTTAGTTTGCTGCCCTACAGCCACGGAGCAAAGCAATCAGGCTCTGTGCAGCTCAGGGTCTCTGCAGGAAGCCCGTGCATGCAGCCTGGCAGCAGCCCAGGAAGGCAAGTTCTGCTCAAGAAAAGCAGTGAGCCTGATCTTTTTTTCCCTGGAGCCTGCCTGCCTGCCTGAGCTGCGCAGGGGCCTGGTGCTTTCCTCTGCAGCTGCCATGCCCCCCAGGACTGCCCAAGCCAGATGCCTGTGGGCAGGTGTCACCTGGTGGGGGGGCTGCAGCTGCTGTGGAGGGAAGCACCAGCCTCCCATGCAGCCCAGGGACTGCCATGAGTGGGGCTGGGGGAGCAGGGCGGGGGGTCAGGGAGCCTGTGCAAAGCTCCCCACACAGTGTGGGGCAGTGGGGGGCAACAGGATCGCCCCCTACCTGGCAGCACCCACTGAGTCGGGGCTTTTTTTTTCAAAGTGCTGGGAGCTGGGCAGGGCAGCCATTGCTGGGCTGGGAGAACGGGCTGGGGATGGGCCTGGGTGATCCAGTTTACAGACACAAGAGAATCATATTGGATGAATTAATTAATTAATATGTGGATACTTTTCCACAAGCAACTGAGCCTCTGTACTAAGAGAGGTCAGTTAAACTTGCTTGTGCCTCTGTTTTGCCATCTGTAAAATGGGAAACCAAGTCACTCCACAGCTTGTACTATCAGGTAATGAATGCTGAAGTGAGTGGTATCCAGCCAATCCAAGTGAAGTGGAGGTGGCACCAAACAGTTGCATTTAAAAAGTTCTCTGACTCCTGGATGAAATCATGAGGAATGAGTTTGCAATTTTGTGTAGGTCACAAACAAATTTTAGATGCAAAGCCTGTCCCCAAACTTCTGCTGTTGTATGGCGGTCACAGTCTGGCAAAGGTTGTGACTCACAGTTATGAGCGCATTATATTGCAAGCTTACACTCTCCTCAAAGGAAATAATTATAATAAATAAGTCAATTGAAAAAAAAATAGTCAGCATGCCTCCAATTAAGGGTAACTAATTAATGGTAGAAATGCAGATGAGAGGGAAGCATAATTAAGAATCACCAGTGCTTATTTTTTTAATTAACAATTGAAAGCCTATTGAATTTAAGATTCTGGAGAGATTAGAACAAGCAGCTTCATGTTGCTTGTGAGTTTAAATAAGAGCATTTGTTGCTCTCTTGACAGGTTTTTATGGCAAGGGAAAGATTTTAAGATAAGCATTTTCAAACTACTGCTTTTCGTCTTTCCTTCCTCCCTATTCCACTATCCCAGTCAAAGCAAGGGTTACAGGTTTTCAAGATTTACAAGATTTCACTGACTATAGCAGTTTCCTGGAAACTGATAGGGAGAAGAAAGATGGAGGTAACTAATTCTGACTGATCTGTTTGAAGCAGGACTTTTCTCCCTTTCCAATACACTGA